ACAATGAGTTTAATTCTAAAACATTCAAAAACTTTTCAACCTAAATTAGCCCATAAACTGTTCAAAGAACCAAAAAAGTTTTGATTAAGAATGAAATAACTTTCAGTACACTCTACCTTCTTTATTATAGGCAAGATAACGATAGCAATCCCTAAACTCTACATCGAAAAATTTTTAGACAAGGGGAGTGGTCAACCATCACTATGATCTTCCCAAAACTCCTCCCGAGATGCTTATTGATTACAAGTTCAATGATGCTACAATCTTAACGATTTGCTAAGTCAACTTATTCCTCCGAAGGGGCTACAAATAACTCTTCTACAAAAAAAAAAGTATTCTTTTTATCCTAAAAGTGAGCAGATCATGGTGAAACGGTTTTAACCGACTTTTACCTATTTTCCGATTCCTTTTTTTAATAAAACAAAGCAGATTTTATAGCACTTGGAAATTATTTTCAATCACAAAAAAATCTCTTTCAAAATCCCTTTCCTGTTTGTCCCTTTGACCTCTTTGTTTACTTCCATGTTTAGAGTCTTGGGTTTATAGACTAAAATGTTAGGAAAATGCAACATCTCTATCTGATCTACTCCGGTTTTTGTTAATCAAGTAGTAAAGTTGTCAGAAAACCCATATTCACGATTGTATCCTTATTCCTGAAAGAATTTCAAAATTTTCTAATAAATTAATTCAAAGCTCATAAAATAAAATATGTTATCATAAATAAATATTTATTTAAATAATATAGCTATATAAAAACAAAAACATACAAAAAATTATGAAAATAAATAAGAAGAAATTCTACCTCCTTCTATATATTTTAAACTCTCACCTCCAAAAAACTAAAATGCTAATTCCATTTATAATTCCACTAATAATCCACTTTGATCAATAAAAGAAACTATTTTAATTAAAAAAACCTTAAACCTTTTAATAAAAAAGGAAGAATAAACCCATCTATATAAGCCTTGATAATAAGACCAAATATAAATAAAATTTGAAAAACTTTTTTAAAACAATATCTATTTCAGATTTCAATTGTAATTTTTTTTTTTTTCTTTTTTTAAAGAAAATTAGGGACCATATAAATAAAAAAGCAATTAATATTCCAAAAAAAGCTATACTAACAGAAGGAATTGTATTAAATAAAAATTCTAAAAACTTTTCAGAATTACTGTAATTAAAAAGAATTTATGGATAAAGTAAGCCAATAGGATAAGAATCAACATTCATTTTATTTTCATCAAATAAAATTCTATAAAAACCTATAAACAAGTAGGTATTGTTATTATTATTAAAAATGAAAATAAATATTTATATTATTAGTTTTTTAGGATATAATGTAAATTTTTTGTCTAGTTTTAATTGTTCTTGTTAAATTCTTTCAAACTTCCCATATTGAAATAGAAGATAATTTTTTACGTCATCAAAAAAATGACCACGAAAATCTCCCTCAAAAGTTAAAAAAATATATACGAAACACATAAAAAGCAGTTAAACCAGCTGTAAAAAAAGCAATAGACCCTAAAATAGGAAAATGTAACCAACTATTTACTAAAATTTCATCTTTGGACCAAAAACAAGCAAAAGGTGGAATTCCACATAAAGAAAGTGTACCAAACAAAAAAGTTATTGCAGTTATTGGCATATATTGTCTTAAACCACCCATAAAAATCATATTTTGACTTTTATTCGGATGATAACCTACAATAGGTTCCATTGAATGAATAACTGAACCAGAACCAAGAAATAGTAAAGCTTTTGAATAAGCATGTGTAATAAGATGAAATAAACCAGCTTTGTAAGATCCGATGCCTAATGCTAACATCATATATCCTAATTGTGACATTGTTGAATAAGCTAAACCTTTTTTAAGATCTTTTTGAGCTAAAGCAATAATAGTAGCTAATAAAGCTGCAATGGCACCTGTCCAAGAAATGATACTCTTAAGCGACAAATGGTAACATTTGAAAAGAGGAAACATTCGAGCAATTAGAGGTCAATTCAGCTGCAACCATAGTTGCAGCATGAATAAGGGCTGAAATAAGTGGTCCTTCCATAGCATCTGGTAACTATATATGTAATGGAAATTGTGCAGATTTAGCTACTGGACCTAAAACAAAAATAGAGCACAAAAAGTAGCAAAACTAAATTAATTTGATTTCATAGCTTAGTATCCAAAAAATCGTTTTGATAATTTGTTGAAAATCAAAACTACCTGTTATCCAATAAAATCCTAAAATGCCTAATAATAATAATCCAAAATCACCAATGGCAAGATTTGTAACAAAAAGTTTTTTGACACGCATTAGCTGCACTTTGGTCTTAGTAAACCAAAAACCAATTAATAAATATGAACATATTCCAACCAATTCCCAAAAAATATAAACTTGTATTAAAATTAGGACTAAGAACTAACCCTAACATTGGATGCAGTAAAAGACTTAAATAACAAAAATTTTATATATCCTTTCATCATAAAACATATAACTATCACTATAAATCATAACCATAACTGCTACTGTAGTTAATAAACTAACATAATTGAAGTAAGTGGATCAAGTAAATAGCCTATTTCTAAAACAAATTTTTGTGAACCCAAGACCATAAATATCTATGAATTTGGATCTACCTGTAATTTGTTGCCAAAAAATGAAATGAGAGTAACATAGTTTAAAACTAACAAAAAAGAAGATAGACGACGAAATTTTTTTATAAATTTGGAAAAAAAACTGATTCCTAATAAATAGAAGCTAAAAATGGAAAACAATGGTACAAAACCAAACATTTTGAAATATAAGTTCCATAAAAACATTTTTATTAAAAATAAACTTCTTATTTTTATAAATTCTCGTTTATAATTCAAAAAATAAAAATAATTAATATTTTTTTTTAATAAAAACTAAAAAGATAATTTATAATATAAAGTAATATAATATTATATATCTTTTTTTAGTTTTGAACTAAAAGATATGTTTTTTTTTATAAAAAACTAATTGAAAAATATTTGTTTTGTTCTATTCTAGTTTAAAATTTAATTAAATTTTATTTAAAACAAATTAATAAAATTAAAACATTTATAACATAATGAGTAAATACGCAATAATTGAAACCGGAGGGCAACAACTCCGAGTAGAAACTGAAGATTTTATAATATTCTGTCATTTTGTCTCATTAACACCAAATGAATTAGAACAAAACACAAAAATATTAATTTATCGAGTATTAATATTCGTCAAGAGTCTACTATAAAAATGGGACATCCTTGGTTAAAGTGATGATAGTTAAAGGTAGAATTTTACATTCTTGTCTCTGAAAAAAATTACAATTTTATAAAATGATTTCAAAAAAACGTAAATTAGGACATCGACAAAATCAACCTGATTTATAGTTGATTCTATTTTTTAAATGGAAAAGAAATTTAATTCATAAAAAAATATATAATATTTTTTTTCAGCATCCCTATAAATAAAAGGTAAGGTATTTTTTATTATGGCAGTTCCAAAACGTACATCTAAATCTAAAACACGAATTCGTAAAGCTGCTATTTGGGAAAAATAAAGTTAATAAAAAGCGCTTAAGAGCTTTTTCTTTAGCAAAAATCTATTTTAACAAAATCGTTCAAAAAGTTTTATTATACAATAAATGATAAATTATTAAATTCATCTAAAACCATATCAACGTCTAAATTAGATGAATCATAAAAATGTATTTTGTCACTTTTATAAATAAAAATAAGAAAGTTAATAAGTTTAACTACATTTTTAGGTTATTAAAAAATGATTCCACTTTTTTTATTCCTCCCTATAATACTTTTCATTACTAAAGGAAAATTTTGATTTTTAACTAAATTTGAATTAGTCTTAGCTTGTGCATTGGTATTATGGTAATTTTTATCTTAGCTTTGCTGTCGATTTTTTTTTTATATAAAAACTAAGCAACAACCTTGGAATATTTTATTACAAAACAGCTCTTGAACCAGTTGTATTATCTGCTTATGGTTTTACTTTTTTTAACTGCTTTATTACAAGCAATAATTAACGCAATCTTTGGCCTAATTCTGCTTGGGTTTTGGTAAGATATGAATTTCCAGGAAAAAACTTTTAGATGCTACAGTAGATCTTCCATTTGCTCTTCCAACTTCAGTTGGAGGATTAACTTTAATGACTGTATTTAATGATAAAGATGGATAAAACCTATTTGTTCATGGTTAAATATAAAATAGTTTTAATCCTATAGGAGTGCTTTTAGCAATGATTTTGTATTCTTTTACCTTTGTAGTACGCACCATACAACCTGTTTTACAAAAACATGGGAAGAAGATTTTAGAAGAAGCTGCATGGTGTTTAGGTGCATCACCATGGACAACTTTTTGGTATTTTGTTTCCACCATTAACTCCATCATTATTAACTGAACTACTTTTTAGGTTTTTCTAGAGCTTTAGGTGAATATGGTTCAATAGTTTTAATTAGCGTCTAATATTCCAATGAAAGATTTAGTAATTTCTGTACTTTTTTTCAAAAACTTGAACAATATGATTATAAAAGTGCTACTATTATTGTAAAAGTTTTGTTTTTTAATAATTTCATTTACTGCACTTTTTTATTAATAAAATTAGTTATGGAAAAAAAACTTTTCATAAATAAATCTTTGAAAGAATTCAAATGGAAAAGTGTATTTCATAGTTTTTATGAAATACACTTTTTTCCATTTTAATTAAAAATTAATTATAATTTTTTTTGAGTAGCGGGATTTGAACCCCACGACTTTCATCACCCCAAGATGATACACTACCAAACTATAATTGTATGACTTTTTATAAAAGTTAAAAATTTTAAAAATTATAGTATATAATTTAAATAAGCTGCTATGGTGAAATTATAGACACGCTGCTTTTAGGAAGTTATGTCAAGGCTTCGGTTCGAACTGAGTAGTGGCATAAATTTTTATTATAAAAATATGTTTTATAATATCTTTTGTCTTTTATTTATTTTATAATCAG